ATTGTGTACATTGCTGTAGGCTACCCAAAAGCAAATGAGACTGTGGCACTTCAGCAAACACTGAGGGCTGGCTCATAAGTGTAAAAGCAGAGGGACCCAACAGTTCTATTCAACCCAGGTCAAATTCATCCTCCCTCACACCAAAACCTCTGCAGGACACGAAGGCATCTAGAACCAGACATGAGTGCTAGCAGGAGCTTAATTCCACTGACATCAGTGGCATTCTAGAGATCTGAACAAAGAGGTCATATCTGTCTTTGAATCTCAAGCTCAGTTATCTGGGGCCAGAGAAACTATGTACTGAAATAGGTGAACTTCAAAAGGCTCAGGAGAGTTTCAGGAAGCTGCAGGAACACGTCTTTAATTCCCTGCATGCTAGGAGTCTCTCAGAGATCTGCCAAAATCATTACTCCTGGTCATACTAAAAACAAGACTGTAGAAAGACAAGACCAAATATCCCCCCCCCCAGACCTCTCACCCTCTATCTCCACAACCACATGCCTGCACTAAAGGCAAACAAAGTAGATGGTGAATTTGAACCAATGGAGGAGAGCAGAGAAACTCACCTGTTACACTGACTCTGCTACTAAAAAACAACCAACCAACAAACCCCATAAGGACTAATGTCTTTAAAGAGGAACAGAAAGCACTATGCCTGCTAGTGTTATTAATAGAGCAGCAGTAACAACAATGCTACTTTGGATTCCTAGGGCACCTTCCATCCTGGGTCTCAGAGTACTTCATAAAAAGCTGACTAAACATCACCCTTCTACATTTGAGGGGAAGTAAAAAATGCAGCACAAGCAGTTTCAGCCACCTGCAATACTTGAGCCCCAACTCCCTTGCCTTAATGAGACTTCACTTGCTTGCCTACTGATTGGCAGAGTGGGATAATAGTCACCATCACATCCCAAGGTTTCAGGAACCCAAGCAGACTTTCAAAAGACTTCTGTCCTCGTCCTTGCTCCCAACCTTCTCACCCCAGTATACATTGGTGCACCTTTGGATAGAGGCATTATGGGGTTTTCTTCACTTTGCTCTAAATTGTAAAGTAGAAACTGAAAAACATAACATGAGCCCTGACAGATCAGTAGCCCAATGTGGTAAATGGCATTTTGGCAATGAGTGGAGCACAGCCCAGCAGTACTAATAAGTTCTTCTGTAAGTCACCTACTTTTCGGAAGGTTGGCAAGTGCTGGGGAAGAGATGTTTTGTGTTTGGTTTGGCATTTTTAGGGTTTTTTTTTGGGGGGGAAAAAAAAAGGAGTCTGAGTGAGGATTTTCCCCACTACACAGACATTGCTAACATCTCTCCTGGATAGAGTCTCTGATGTCCAAACCTGTGGCTGAGTTTATGCAACTACAGACCTCACAAGGTTATTTTCCTCCTGCTTTCATGAACACTAGAAGAAGTGAATGCATCCGAGATTTCAATTTAGCTGCAATGTCCAGTAATCAGAGACTGAAAGACAGGCAGGCACCGTGCTCACAGAAGCCATGTTTCTGTATGAAACCAGGCTCAGAAACAGGTGAAAAGAAAAACTAGAAGTCATGTTAGCTGAGAGGTTTACCTGAAATAAAAGAAAAAGCAATATAACACAGAGCGCTGCTTTATCCACATAGTCCTGTGTAAATCGATGGAGCTACTCAGCAAACAACGGCTGCAGCGTCAGGCCTGGGGAAGGGCTTCCTCTGCTCGCCTACTGTTGAGATGTGAAACCAACTCTGTATCGACTCCAAGGCCATCACCCGTAATAAGATCAAGCCAGTACAAAGGGGGTGTTGAGAAAACAGCTTGCCACAGCTGCAGCATCAGGGAATAATCCAGCTGCAGGGCCCACTGCATGTGATTCATTGATAGTGAAGGGAGAAAGCAACTATCTTCCACTATCACACTCCTCACCCCTAGCCAAAGCCTGGCCAGCCTCGCCAGCTGCCCAGCCCTGCAATCACAAGTAAAAGCTCACAGAGGAATGGCTGGGAAGCAGCCTGGTTTATTTTACTGTTTTGCAACTTCTTATTTATGAAAATGCTCCGAGAGCCTGGATACGGATCAAGTTCCCCTGCTCAATATTTATTACAGTCTCACCTGCCTCACTGGAATGGGAACTGCAGGCGCTTTGATTAATGGGTTGGAAAAGAGGAATGTATAGTTTCCCTGCCACCTTGGTAAGCGCCTCCCTGTATCTTGTGCCAAGAGGCTATTTTACAGCATCATAGTCCTCAGTGAATCTCTACTGATTGCTTGTTGCCTCCCTGCAGCAGCACTGCTTGGAGGTGTGGGGTGGCACTGTGTTTTATCCTGTAGCTGGAGGTGGAAGAGCACTGCAGTGCTATGTCAAGTAGAAATAGGCCCTCACTGAACAGCAATAAAAGCATTGGCTTAAAATATCACCCCAGTGGCACCCACATGTTGGGGAATAAACTAAGTTCTTCTCTGTGCTCTGGGAGCACCCACCAGTGCCAAAGAGGGATTTCTGGCTGTGCCCTGGCTGCTTTCCCAAGGCAATGGTTGTATTGCCTTTGGAGGTGGAGTGCTTTTAGCAGAAGCCTGTAGACACAGGCAGCTCCAGTGGCTGCAGCCTGTAAAGACCAGGTATTGCCAGGGCCCTGTCTCTCTGCCTTACTTCATCAGCCACCTCTGGTTGCTAAATTAAGCTTATGCCTGCCTACTGCTTTCAAGCTAAAGTCAGAGTTTGCACTTTGCTCCAGTACAAGGCTGCAGGATGCTTATATTTTGCCACTGGTTAGCCAAGAGGCACTGCTAAATCTCAGCCCCACACAACACCCAGAAGCACACCCATCATGGTTTTGCAGCAGGAATACTTCCTATCCCAGCAGTGACTTGTTCCCACAGCTCAGCTCACACCAGCATTTTGAGGCACAGCATAAATGCCACTACTGATAGCTTCCATCCCATAGCTCTCAGCCCACTCAACGATGCATGTGGTGCATTGGGTCAAGACTGCTCCTGCACACACAAGAGACCATTGGTTCAATCTATACTTTATCTATACTAAGAAAGCATAGTTTTTCATCAGTGGTGAAAGCACAGGGTTGACAGGGGTCTCAGAGTATTTAAAGCCTCCTGCACGCCATGACAGGTACCGAAACACACGCTGCACTGCACTCTCACCATCAGAGCAAGTAGCACAGGGCTGAGAAGCCAAAAGGGGAAGGAGAGCGGAGCTTATTTCCTCCAGGAGAGGGCAGTCCCATACACACACACACAAGTAACTCATGGCACATGCTAGAAATGAATCAGCCCTTCATAATGAAAAAGCCCCATTATCCCAACATCCTCAGCTGGTCCATCTTCCTTTGACTTTTATAGGACTGTGCCCTGCAGATGCCTGGAGTCTGTGCAGTTATTTAGTTCTGCACACTGTAATCTTTTATCTTTGCATTTTGACTAATAACTTTCTGCTCCAGTGGAAACGGGTGAGTACCAGCATGTGGTAGTACCAGGCACAGAGGGGGCTGATGCTGCAAGGGTCTTACACACACCATAGCACACTGCAGGGTTTGCCTTCAGATGCCCACCTCATATCCCTGCCCTGGATATCTCCCACATAAACCACATCCATGGTCACATATACAGTTTACTTCAACTGCAGACTACCCACACCAGCTCTGCTGCTGCCTCCCACTTCTTACACCACAGCCCTCAACTGGGTGTCTCTACACCTGGCTGGGCCCAACCTCTTTTAGTCCCCACTTCCCCGTTACCATGTTCCTATTTCCACATTTGCCAAAACAGCTCATTCCTGTTCCATAAATTGTCTCCCTGTGATTTCATCAAAGGAAGTTTATTAGCAAATCTCAGTGGATGACATCTCCCCTGGGGCTGATGTAGCATCACCAGCTCTCCTCACTCCTAGCCTTTTGGAAAGCATGCTCCTGCACTAGGAAGCACTTCAACCAGCAGCTGGAGCTTGTGATGGTCCATTCTCACCCCTTCCTGGGGATGTGTAGGTACCGAGTACATGTGATCCCAAAAGAGTTTGGAAGGATTTGGCTGGACTCCAGATAATTGCTACTGCAAATTAGGTCTCAACCTATTTGTCCCAGCCGTGTGATGGATGAGGCTTGTATGCTATGGCTGCTTCAAAAGTCTATATTTTTATCAAAAGATTGGCAGTCCCTGTGGGCCCCGCTGAGATAAAGAAAGGTTTTCTGTTTCCCAAGCCCCTTTTCCCTGCTCATGCCTTCTCCCTGCTTTTTGTATTCATCTTAGGGCTACCAGCAGTGTCTGGAGGAACTAATTTCCTTCCCAGCCCACCCCTTCTTCTCCCAAATGAAAACCAGAGCTCGTTCCTCCAAGTTGGATTTGCAGGAGAAATATGAAAGCTAAAAGGCACACGGTATAAATAAACATGCAATGGGAAACAGAAGAGGCAAAACACAGAGGCCCAATGCAGACGAGAGAGACAATACAGCATAACAAACAGCGAGCTACGCTTCGCCTATGGCATTTTCCAGCTACATCAATAATTATATAATACAGCATTCGCCCATTTCTCAGGCACGGATCAATACCGGCTGCGCTGCCACCATGCTCCTGGGGACCAATGGGCTCTTCACAAACCCACACTTTGCCTGTGCTGGGGATCAGCAGCATTTCACAAGGACTAGAGAAGCAGCAAGTGTATTCTTCATGGGGAGACACAGGCTTCTGCCCATGGTGTGCGATGCTGGAAACATTGGTAAGAAATGGCTTGCCTGTTTTTGATCTCCAACCACCAGCAGCAGATGCAGTCGAGGTACTGCTTTGGATAGGTGCTGTTGGTTGGCAAGAGGTTGAAAGAAGATTCATTCCATGAGCACCTTGCACGCTGTGAGCTTACTTGGTAGGAAGCAGTTCAGCTATCAAGTGTAAAGGTATGAATGCACCCGCTTGTCAGGCCTCCCAGCACAATTAGGGTACACATTACTATTAAACTTACCCAAATTCTTCATAACGAAATATAATATTCTAAACACGCAGCAGGGATGCTAAAAACAAAATAACTTGGAAAAAAAACCCAGAACAATCTTGTGGACAGAGCATAATGAGCATCTCTGCTTCAAAGAGGGAAGTTCTGCAATCCCTCCCCAAATTCCCATTTTAAGTGTACAATCACTAAATATTGTGCTAGCGGGAGGAAGAAAATAGGAAATCAAATGAAGAAAACACTAAGAATAACAACAACCACCACCACCCTCATTTTTTCTTCTTAGCTGGCTTGGGATTCCTATGAAGAGCAAGCCTGAAATATAGATTTCAAACCATTAATACTATCATTTAAACACTAGCCTGGGTGAAGTAGCAGAAGCTATGGCTGACCTATGCAACTTCCCACAAATGGCAATTACCTCTAAAAGCTTCCCATGCCAAATCTAATTAAATTGAAAGAGACATTTAGAAACATAAAGTCATTGGTTTTCTTTAAAAGAGTGAACCGTTTGGTTGGAGCTAACCAATGGAAAAAACCCATAAGCAACTGCCCTTCCCCAAATCAAACCCCAAAACCAACAGCTGTAAGATGTGGAGGATGCATTCTTGCTCTATGCAATTGAACAGTAAAGTAATTGGCTTGGAGTGTATGATTTTATTTTACTGGGTTGCATGCGGTCTCTGATCAGGCTTTGTCTTGTATTTGTTAGACAAGCATCCTGATACCGCTATGTAAAATGTCAAGTAATATAATTGAGCCCCAGTCCTACCAAGGCCTTCTTTTAGACAGAACTCACATGTCAGTGGGAATTTCATCTGATTTCCCTGCTGGAAGGCTGGATTAAAGGTCTTCGTACTGTAAAAATTGAAAAACTCATAACAATGACACACTCATCTTGCCAATCAAACAGTAATAAATAATAAAAGTGACTCTGAAAGAGCTCATCCTAAACAGCAAGAAATCCCTAAATTAATGAAAATTAATACTTGCATCCACTGGCCTATGAAAGCTTGTGGCACATTTCAATACCACTGCAGTCACACAGATAAGCCCTTGGGTGCCACCGTGGATATGTTATACTATAAAATCACCAGTGTGGAGGATACAGTCCTTAGAACTCCAGAAGCAGTGGATTGCTCATCCCTCTTTGAGGGATGCACAAACTATAACTAGGTATCTCTGAAGTAAGTGTTATACATAGACCTAGTACGAGCCTGTTGCTACATAAGGACCCACAGTTTTGTAGAGACTAAGAGGAACAGGAAGATAAAAATGGCTGGTGTTGTAATCGAGATGGCACAGCTATGAAAGATTTCCCCTGGGTATAATGCATTGCCTTTGCTGCAAATGCTGCTCCCAGCTGGGTTTTGGTCATGCAAATGGATCAGAGAAAATATGCTTCCAGTTTGCTTAAAGGCTAGTCAAAACATGAAGGACTGTTGATCTTAGGGATGATCTTAATTAACAGTTATTAATAAACTATAATGCATTTACAGAGATCACAGGATATATATAAAAATATAATATTTGTGGAACAAATGTTTGGTTAGTATCTTCTCATTGTTGATGAATGATGGAAGTCAGGTCAAAGCAAAGCAACTTGCCTAAGGTTGCAAGGAAGCCCAGGTAAGTGAAAGCAGTGGAGCCAAACCTTTTGCCTCCTAACCAAATACACTTCCTCTCTGGCAGAGTGCATCAGGAGAGCAACAGAATGGGTTGGAAGTGGGGAGTTACTGCAGCCCAGCTGATTGACAATAGCATGTTAGACCATAGTAATCTGACTTCCAAATCTGTGTCTGTACCCTGGCTATTTTTTCTTTCCATTTCCTACCACTATTAATTCAATGCAGTTCAGAGCTGTTAGGTTCAAACCAAATCAAAATAATCCACTTGGGCCCAGGACATATATATGAATATTCACTAAAGTCTGAGTAGCAAAAATGTGTGTGTAGAATGAACCCAAATATTTGTCAGATAGAGAAAATAGCAGATTAACACAATCTGCACTGGCAGGATGCTCTGGGTTTGCTGTTTGCCTCTCCCTGCCATCTATTCAAGTCCCTTTGGAAGACACTTTCCTGTGAGGACTCTCTCTCTGTTGCATGCTGATGACTGATAATGCAGTCAACATATTGTAAATGGGAGCTGCTTTCCACTGTGAAGGGACAAACCCTAATTTGCCATAGCCCTGGGTCAGATGCAAGTTAAATGAGCCAGAGCAGGACACAGCCACACCCTCCATGGCTGGGCTATGCAAGCTGCATGCGTACACACAAAATCAATTACTTTGGGCTCTTCTGAACGCGACAGGAGAAAATTACATCTGAGCTCTGGCCTCAGCCAATCAATCCTACAGTAGCCTGATTTTTCTAGGAATGATGCTGCAGGCAAGGCTTGCGTGACCTACAAAGAGAAAGGTCTCAGTTCAGCGAGTTCTCTAGCTCTCCTGTTCCATTGCTTCTGCTTCTGTCCATAGGGCTGTTTTGTCACACGCTCACTACAGGAACTATCTTCAGCCAGTCAGGACACATCCAACAGCATATGTGACTCATGCCACCAACTGCAAGAAGTCACTGGAGCCCAAATATCAAATTGTATTTGCAACAATCACTTGTGATCAGCTTACAAAGCAAAAAACTCACCTTCCTCATCTATGTAGAACTTATCCATTTGAGCTATTACATGCCAAGAAAGAGAAGCAGACTCCAGAAAGAGAAGAAACTCCATGAAAGGGCGTTGCTGTATTCAAGACTACTTCACATGCAACAGAAGCAAAGCACTAAAATAACCATGACCCCAGTTTTTCCTTTCTAGAACTTGTCAGGCCTTGCAAGTTTGCAAGTCTCTTGAGCATCCCATCCTGCGTGGGAGAACACACAGGATGAAGTGTGAAAGAGATGGGAAATTCCTTTGGGGAAGAAAAATAATAAAAATAAAAAAATTAAATCAGATCCTTGCAGAACAAAAGCCCTGCAGAAACATGCATAATTATTACCTACATTTATAGCTTTAGCAAGTACCAAAAAGGTCAGTGTATGAGGTTTTCTTTCTTGGTGATGGAAGATGACACTCCCAGCCTTGCAGACTGTAAGTTCTGTTGGTTTACTTGAACTATAATTATGGACTTCCGAACACAAAACAAAGATTACCAAGAAAGCACAACTAATCTTAACCATGCTAAATCTGTCACCACAGCTTTGTTACTATATATGTCTGCTCTCGTCGCACGGATGCGCAGGCAAATGAAACTACTAGCAATGAGTTCCCCTGCAGTTAGGCTGCTACACAAAGATGGAACCAGGACTCAAGGCAGGGAACTGGAACTCAGTGGTTCCACCCATCTTATCTCTCTTTTGCTTTGGGTTCCTCTTTATTACCTCAGTAGTTTTTGCAAGCTTGTTCTTGCTGCATGTAGAATGGCCCATGCATTTCACAGACTGATGACTCATTTTCAGGAATGACTGAGTTACATCAGAGCTTATATCTCATTGACAGCTGATGAGCTCTGCTCTCCCAAGTGACCAAAGCCCTGGTTTCTAAAGGCTGTTTAAATACCTTAATAGTAGCTTAGAAACCTAGTGCGCAAAAAGCTAAGTTTAAAGCAATAAAAATAAATATCCATAAATGAAGCTAAATGGATATAGAAAAATTGAATCTCTCTCCTTATACTTGTATCTATATATACCTAAATCACTCTGGAAGAGGAAGCCTTCAATCCTTGACCCACCAGAATACCTTCTGCCCTGCCTAAATACTGTTTCGTCTAAAAGCAGTCTCAGTATTAGTGAATATGATGAAATCTGCATAATGGGATCTTCATGTGGAAGAACTGAGAGTTTAAAAGCCCAGGACTACAGCACAGGAAACAAAGACTACATGCTTTGTTATTTCCATGGGTATGTCAGACTGCAACAAGATATATCCTGTATGCTCTGTGCGACTACTGACAGCAGCATATTCTCCTCCTTGTTACTCAGGGTGCCCATACCTCACATGTCTCTCTAAAGCAATAAGAACTTGCTGTATGTGCCAGACCAGGGTAGAGATTAACCAGTATAGGATCAGAGTGGATATTTCCATGACTTTTATAGCTGGAGAACAAACAGTGAAATTTGTCCTCACATTTATCAGGATGTAAGATAGTTCTTATTAAAGTCAATGTTTATCACAGCACCTCACAGCAATACCTGATTTAACACAAGTTGGTCATGTTCTCTGGTATACAGGAAGATGCTACTTGCTGCAAGATGGTGCTTTTTTAATAATGACCTCTACGTTGACAAATACAACTACAAAAGCTGAACACCAACAGCCAGAGCAACACAATCTTAAACTCAAAACCTGATAAAAGCTGAAGCTATGCCTGGACAGAGTAGAAACATACCAGTATGGCACAAGAAAACTTCCAAAGCAGCTTGCCATAGGCATTCACTGACAATGCCCAAGCACACAATGGCAGAGCATTGGTGCGCTTTGCTGTCAGGTTTCATTTTGCCTTCGCAGCTCTTTAAATACATGACAAAGCGACCAATGAGACCATCAACAGAACACTTGGAAGATGCGAGATGCCAAAAAAAAAATGAAGTAAAGCTAAAAACCTTCTCACCTGTGAACTGTGGAAAGAAAAAGTTCAAGCCCACAGCAGGGGAGTTGAAACTAGATGATCTTAAGGTCCTTTCCATCCAAACCATTCTGTGATTCTACAGTTCTGCTGAGGTTGCAGCACAGGGGTTTTTTGTACTTGCATTTTAGCGGCTCTTGTATTCTAGGTGACATTCTTCCAGCTGACAGTGGCTCTGAACAATGCCTGGACCTTTCAAGCTGAGGTTCTAGTGTTAAGTACTGAAAAAGTCTGTTAGTGTTCAAGAAAACATTGGTTTTCTCATGAAAGCAAAAACAAAATTGCATGCTCTCATTACCCTCTGACATGGTGTTCATGGTGTGTATAAAAACTTACTCTGCTATTTCTAGCAAACAGAAGAGAGACTGTGCAGATTTAAATACTTAGACAAGTGTCATGCGTTGCGTTAAAGAAATACAGAACTGTGCTACAAGAAATATAAAGGCAATTCTTAGCTGAATACAGCTCTCCTCCATTAATGCAATCCTGGCTGCCATACCAACCATCTTCCTAACTGGCCAGGATTAACTAGTCACCCAATTGGGAGCTCACTGCAGGTCTACCTAAAAAGGTAGAGTTGAAAGGAAGGTGGGTCAATTCACAGAAAAGGTTTCTTTCTTCATCATGCAAGAGTGGGTTGAATAAGAGCAGAATACATTTATCATCAGTACCTTAAAACTCCAGGGCTCCAAAGGTTTATTTTATTTCACATCATGGCTTGCCTGTTCTACTGTGACTTCATGAAAATCTCTCTGCAATACAAAGGGATCTCTGGGCTTGGTTTTCCTCTTCCTAGCCCTCCAACTGTTGTTCTCACATTCTCTCAGTTCAGCCACACTGTACAGCAGTGAGAGTCCCATCCTTACTGTCTGACTGTAAGGCCCAGTGAGCAGCTAAGAAGGTCAGGAGATGATCCTCAGCAATGGAGGACACCAGGTCTCAGGCTTCCAAAATGATGTCTATCAGATGGGCTTTCTTATCTTAAAAAATACTGGAAAGAGTAACAGGTTTATTCTGCAGCTGTAAGACCAAGGTTTCATCTAAGAGAAGAGTACCCTAAGAAGAGAATGTGGACACACAAATTCCCAACCTCATACAGGGAGGATCTGCATAGTGCCACACAGCAGCCCAGCGCTGGTGCTGACAACAACAAATCTCAGGCTGGATTCTACAGGCAGCTCATGATGGGTTTCTGTGGGGAAGTCACTTCTCCTTCCTGTGTTTCCATTTCACT